ATGTTTTCCTTACTTCTTGACCCCTTGTTCTCCTAAAAATACTATTCAAAACTCATTCAATTAATGAGAATCAAACAGGCTCTATAGTCCATGTTTCGTTCTCATTTTTAAAATTTAATACTTCACAATATGTATATGCTTAATTGTAGGCATGCTTTGAAGCATATGAAGGAAGGGAGTAGCATAATCAACACAACATCAGTGACTGCATACAAAGGGAATGCTAAATTACTCGACTACACATCGACAAAAGGGGCGATTGTGGCTTTCACTAGGGGACTTGCATTACAACTTGTGAAGAAAGGAATCCGCGTAAATGGCGTGGCACCTGGTCCTATTTGGACACCTCTGATTCCAGCGTCTTTCAGCGAAGAAGAAACTGCGAACTTTGGGAAAGAAGTGCCAATGCAGAGGGCAGGGCAGACGATAGAGGTTGCTCCATCTTATGTCTTTCTTGCTTCAAATGTGGACTCATCTTATATAAGTGGACAAATCCTTCATCCTAATGGTGGAACCATAGTCAATGGCTAGTTAGCCTATTGTGTCATGGGGTTTTGTTAAATAGAATTATGTACTGAGGGATGGTCTGTTGATAGTCTTCAACTTGTACTACTGTGTTTGCATGGTGTTGAATAAAACTCTTATAAAGATATTTGTGCAAATCTTGTTGATAAAATGAGAAGCTAATTAAATTAGCGGATCCCACGTGAATTTAAAAAATATCAGTTTGTGATCCTCACCCTTAAAATTTATACATGTAGCATGATCTTTCTTGGGTTGTTCCACTTGTACATTATGAAATGTATATCAAGGTGTTCTTCTCTTACATGGGGTTCCACTCCACCCGATGTACATCAAGCACAGGAGGTGGAGCCAGGATTTTAGGTTAATGCAGCAAAAATTTTTCACCACAAGATTTTGGTCATGGATTTGATGACGATAAAAAAAGTAAAACAATAGTGCAACAATACTAAAAACGACATAATTTATATGTTACACTTGTTCTTTGCGAGTTTTCATACCTTGATATCGTTGTATAATAACTTCATTATCGAGCTTTAAAAATATATCTTTTTCCACATAAACAATTATGATATCATTCATCCACTGATCACCCATCCGATTGTACAATCTATCTTTTATGATGTTCATTGCAAAAAAGACTCTCTCCACAATAGCGGTACTAGTCAGTAAAAGCAATGCTAAAGTCAAAAGTTTGTAAACCAATGATACACTTTATCTTTTTTTTCTCTGAACTAACTTCTCCGCAAGATCACCAAGGTCATTCAACCTTTCAAACTCTTTGTTAGAGTGCATGTCAAAAATATAAGTCTCAAGTTGATTGCTAAGTACAAGGACATCTATTGCAGAAAAATATAATGGATAAAGCCTAGCAAGTCAAATCGAGCTTTTCTTTTCAAAAGAAGAAAATGAATCTTGTGGACACAGACAAGCTACACAAAGAAGTAATTCCGTATTTACCTCCGAAAAGCAGTCATTCAATTTTTGAAGTTGTAAATCGATAACAGAGTAGAACAAATCTATCCGATAATGATGTAAATTTGTAAGTTCTGGAGGATTACGCTGTGGGCGACCATAAAGTGCACGGGGTACAAACATATCATTCATGTTGGGTACATCAATATAATGTTGTCAACATAAAGAACATACTTCTTCCAAAAATGAGTCCCACATTTCATCTCTCATTATTTGGAGCCGTTGTTTGCACAATTTCACCAATTGCATTGTATTTACAATATTCTGATCTTTCATTTGCTATGCCTTTGACAGTTAATTTGACATCTTCAAGATATTTCTCATCAACTGTAAATCAAACGCAAAATCAAATGTTTGTATCGACTCCAATAAATTTGTTGCATCAGATCTTTAATCACAAGATTCATCTTCAAAAATCATTTTAACTACATCACTAACTTAAGAAAACATGGCAAACAAGCTGACAAAAGAATTATAATGTGAACCCCATCGTGTATTACCAGAACATTGAAGGGTCATTTCTTGATCAAGTCCTCATCTACTTAAAATCTTACCTATTTCCAATGCCTCAACAACAAAGTCTGATTATTTTTCTCGAAGAAAATTACAAAGCTTAGAAGATGCTCCAATGGTATTTACCACATCACCAACAACACAAAAGAAGTTCTTAAGTTATATCTAGAACAGTGAATGTAACATGTTCAATCCCTATGAAGCGTTCATTCACATGTCCACTCTTGTCTACATAACGTAATACAATTGACATCTGCTCCTTCATTGACACATTATGCGATTCATCAACTAGAATAAAAAATAATGAATCGCCAATATCTTTGATAATGACATTGATTGTCTCAACGGCACAAGCACTTACTATATCCTTTTGAATATCAGTGATGTCAATTTTCAATTTTGAGGAGCATTTTCTAATGTCACGGCATTAATATTTTCATTATGAGCAGTCAAAAATTGCAATAGGACTAAGAAATTACCTGGATTGAGAGAATTCTTAGATTTCTCATGACCCCAGAATGGTTGCCCCTTGTTGCGATAGAACTCGAACACAATCAATGGATGCATTAAGACGGGTAACATATGCACTTCTTAATTGTTCTGACTGTTTATAGAAAGCAAATTGAATGTGTTGCTTTTGATTCATCAAAACTTCACACTTAATGCGAGTTTGATTATGTGCACTATCATGAAGTTCAACATGCGTATGAAGTCTTTTTTTTTTATCTTTCTAATATGTAAAACCTTCTCCAACAAAAGACTCACCTCCACCTTGCTTTCTATAACTTGTTTTGAAAAGGTAACAGTACAAACAATAAATAGCATCCTTTTCTACACTGTACTCCAACCAAGGACCGAACTCTTTAAACTAAGAAGGATTGAATCGTCTAGTTGTTACTCCAAATTGTCGTTTTGGAAAGTCATGATCTTGAGGCTGACAAGGAGCCTTTAACATATACGCTCTTCGAACATGATCTCTAATGTTAGCATTGTAATCCGAAATTGGTATCCTTAGTTCAGGATCAGCTGGAAGGTTTGCGACATCAAATTCCACATTATTCGATATCCCCCCGACAACATTATCTACATTCCTTTTTGTTTGAAAGTATCTCTTCATTTGAAATCTGGATCTAAACATTTGATATTCAATTGCTACTAGAAGTGGGAGTAATTCAGAATGACAAAAGAATCGCAAATACTAAAAGCAACTCACAAAATTCAGTGCAATTCATAATTTCACATAATCTATTCACTATGCATTTCATAAATTTCACATAATCAATTTACAGTGCAATACGCCAATGCCTATATACACCATTTGTCCAGTATGATTCACAATTTCACATAATCAATTCATAGTCTAATTCAAAATTTCACAATGCAATATATACTATTTTCAAATTCTAAGCAACTTGAACTTACAATCGCAAATTCGCAAAGAGCCAGAGCCCAAAGGCAATTGAAGAATAAAATGCTAATTTCATATGTAAAAGAATAAAAAATATATATTATTACAATTTACACAAATTGAAATAACAAAAAGGGGGGGCGAAATTGGGGCTTCAAGTGCTTCACCTTCTGCGTTCAGCCGTCTAGCTTCTTCTTTTGCTGGCTGCTGTCGGTTGGTGCCTTGGCGGTTGTCGTGTCTTGAGACTCAAAGGTTAAGGAGCGACCGGTGGAGTTGAGGATGTAGAGTCGAAGTCAGATATGTCAAGATGAGAGCCTAGAGTAGGAGATATACAATAATGGACTGTCGAAGAGGGAAAAAGAACTATGACTACTGTTGGAGATGACGAAGAGGGAAAGGGAACGACAGGCAATGACCGATCACTGGTGGAGAGGGAAGTAGTAAAGTGCGAGTGTGCTATGCGAAGTTGTAAAGGGATGAAGTTGTCTCACAGACAAAGGGTTGAAATGAATGAATGGGTTTGGATAAATTGATTCAATTGAATTTTGAGGAGAATGGGTCTAATTGGGTTTCTCTCTCTGGGCTGGACAGGGTAGTGGGTTAAAAAAAATGGGCCCAAAAGTCCAATGCGGGCATTTGCCCGCACTGGACATACTTGGGGCTCCGCCCCAGATCAAGCATAACTCTCATTTCTTTCCTTCAAAAAATTTGTTTCGTGACTTTTTCTTATTTTTAACTATGCATATACTTTTTAATACAATTATTTTAGAAATCAAACTATTTTCGTAATTTTTTTCCCAATTACAATCTCCATTTCTTCTGAAATTTTAGTAGCCTATCCGAGCATGTTATGGCATTCTTATATATAATGCTTCTCTGATAGACATGCCATAGCATAAAGTATATGTACTTGAGTTAGGTTTTTCTTCTAGACTTGGGAAAAGAACTTCATAGTTCATGGTCATTTGAAGGGATCGATGTTTCGAAAATCACTAAAAGGGCTAGTTGGCTTCTTTTTTTCTTTTTTCTTTTTTTCCTTGTTGCACTCATTCACTTTGGAAGCGAGATAAATTGAAACATTTTATCCGAAGAACGCTGAGCTTACGGGGACTACACAGTGTAATTTTCCTCTCAAACATGAATTGGCTCCACATAAATAGAAAGAGCATATTAGTGTGAGGACCTTCATCGAGAAAAAATGGCAATGGCACGGTGATGTCTTGACCTATGTCTAGTCATGGTCGAAGGCATGTAGGATGTTCGGACAATGGGAATAAATCAAGATGTTTGAGCAAGTGTTCGATAACATTAAGACATTGTTGTTCAATTGACTTTAGTTCACGATGCCAGTGTATTTTTAGGCACGCGGGAGTCAAGTGACGGTGATTATAAGTAGTTTTCCTTTGTATTTGAGTATATATATATATATATATATATATATATATATATATGTACTCGTTTCTTTGTTTTTTGCGAGAGATAGAAGGTTGGGATAGTTCCCATAAATTTTTATGTCGTCTTGATTATTCAATCTTCTGCATATATACTCGGTAAAATTTCGTGATTTTTCAGAACAGAATGTGTAGAAAACATGTTTTGACTTGCATGCAAAGACATATGGTTGCATCAAAATTGCTAGAATGTGACTCTGCTATATATTGAAAAACGAAACTCTTATTGATTTTGAATTTGTTTTGCTTCAGAATAATTACAAAATTAAATAAAGACAGAACGGCCCCCATGATTATGGATCATCTACATGTGCTTGACGTGGAAACATGCAAGACTTCAGTAATTAATGTTCTTTCTTTATCTTCTTTCTTAACGCGTATCTTTCCTTTCTCCCCACATAAGCACTTTATTATTTTTTCCATTAATACTTTTTTTCTTTAAAGGAAAAACATAATAAAAAATAAGGTAATACCTTAGCTACTAAGCTTTCTATTTATAAAATTTGGAAATAAAATTTATTTTTATTTTCTTTCTTTCTTTTTCTTTTCCCTCGAAACAACAAATAATTTACATATTTTTTCACATACTACAATTATTCTATTAAATTAACTTTAATGAGAGAATTGATTTTCCGTTTCTTGCTTAAATATATTATATATATATAAATTTCAGATTCTTTGAAAACAATAAATTTCATAATTGATATGTCAAACTGATCATTTTCCTTGTGTCGAAAGAATGCGAGAAATTTGAATAAAAAAATAAAAAATGAGAAGTTAATTAATATTCCCT